TAACATGAGAAACAACTATGGTTTCCCACACTGTTCTCAGCACAGTGCCCCAGCCATATGAGAACTTATGCACAAAATGTTCTGGTTCCGTTAGCAAGTGTATGAGCATACACCCAGCCAGCCCATCTCAAGAAATTTTGCAGATGTTGATAGAGGAAACTATCTGACATCAACAAATGTCCATGAACTTTCACACACATGGACATGGACCTGCAGTCAGGAGCAAACACATGAAAACCCATACAATTCACACCCCAAATGAAAATACACACACACACACACACACACACACACACACACACACATATGGAATTAAAGAACAATTCTGTAAAGGTATTTCCTGTGACAGTGGCGCCAACAGTGGAGCCATATAGTGGTGAACCTCTGAATACAAATAAAAAGATTGCTGCCAGGGACTGAGGTCTGAAGAGAAGCTCAGAAGTCAGCACCCAGGGTGTATTGCCCACCCACCCTGGTCAACCTATAAGTGATAATCATGTACAGACATGGACAGAGCCATGGTTCTTCTTTCCCTGTCGGGAGGCTGGAGTCTTCATCCACCTTTAGGTGGGTTCTTCCTAAAGCCTTTCTTCACCACAAACAGAGGGTTTCTGATTATTATGTTCTTGGCCTTTAATCCTAGCATTCGGGAGGCAGAGGCAGCAGGATCTCTGTGAGTTTGAGGCCAGCTTGTTTCATAGAATAAGTTCCAGGACAGCCAGGGCTGTTACAGAGGGAAAACCCTGTCTTGAAAAAAATGCAGGTCTCCTTGTGAGTACCCTTCTGATCCCTGCTATCTCCAGTTCTTTTTTAGGATGAGCTGTCCTAGATAAATGAACATCAGGTACCTCTCAATACTGCTGTCTCCCCACTTAAAGTCCTAAGCAGTATGTATGTCACAGTTTTTCAGTCTCTCTATTTAATTTTCCAACCAAAATATACCTCATACTGCACGTCAATCTCTCAGGTCATGAATTTTGGGTTGTTTCCAAGACACATAGAATACACTTATGCAACACATGGCCTTGCTTTGAATGTGAGCTCCTGTCAGTGGCCTCTGACTGGCCCTCAGGCAAAGACCACAGCTGCTACTATGTCAGGCTTCCATTATGTAGGGTCATAGAGCCTTCCTTTCTTATCCTCAGAATCTCAAAGAGTGTCCATTCCTTGTTACCTCAAAGCCTGACCCATTCTTATTCTCTGCCTCTGACTTTTCAAGCATCCCCAGAAACACTTGGTTTTGGAGGTATAGCTCAAGGCTTTTCCCAGCGACACTTCCCTGGGCTCCAGTTCATATCTAGTTGCTACCAGACTACATATTCTCATAGGAACATAAGCTTTGAGAAGAGGGAGGCCTGTGACCATGCTACACCCCAGCTCAAATATCTGAGCCTCACACTCTGCCTCATCTTCGCAGTCAGTCTGCAGCCACACTGGTTCCATTGGTGTCAATAAGAAGGCAGGATGCTACTATCTTCCCTTTGAGGTCTGGATGTAAAAGTAACAAAAACCTTATTTCCCATTCTGTTCTCTGTGGGCCATTAACCTGCTAACTTGAGTTGGGCTGTGGATTCATGCAGAGATCTTCTTGTAGAGACTTTCTTGGGATGACAGAGGACTAGATTTTAGAGTGACCAACACAAAAATACGGAGAGAAATAGTGAATCATGAATAGCCCAACAAGTGTGTGAATAAATGAATAAGTATATAAAGTATAGATGCATCCTAAATAGTAGCCTTTTCAAGGAGAGCCCAGCTATGAGATATACAGACTCATGGTAAACCTGCCCTTACCTGTCCTGTTCTCAGTTGTGCTTGGCTCTGAATGATTCCATGAGTAAATGAATGTCTCTGCTGTGCTAAAATAGGCTAAGCCCTCTGCACCCATTTGGAAGTTCATGATGTGGTTGGGTGGTTATCTTAGCCATGTACTGACATGGGACTCTCTGTCAAGGACATGGTTCACCTGTGCTGGACCCACATTCTCTCTACAGTGTTTCTTATGAAAGGACGGTAGAACTGAAACATGAATGTGGTGTTTCATTAATAATAATTCAATTATTATTCATTAATAAGAGCAGCCCCCGTAGGCTCACATATTTTAATGATCATTCAGCACAAAGTGACTATTAGAAAGGATTAGAAGGAGTAAGAGGTTTGGATTGTTGGAGGAACTGTGTCACAGCGGTGGGTTTTGAGATTTCAAAAGTCTATGAGTCTCTCTTTCTTGCTTAAAGATCAGAATGTAGATCTCATCAACTACTCCCATGCTATGCATGCTGCCATGGTGATGATGGCTACGAAACTAATATGCTCCCAGTTGAGCGTATCACTAACTTTATTCTGCTAAATGTGTTGAGTACCTAACTACCTTCTAAATTTGCATTTCTGTACTCATAAGTTAGTACAGCTCTCAGGCCACATCAGAGAAGTTGCTTTGTACAGACACTCGACATAGCAAATCAGAACTTTAAAAGTGCAAAGAATACACGTGTCAATGTTATTATATCATACACATACCCTAAGTACTACTGACCATTCTGGAATAGGAGGTTGGAAAGTTTTTAAGAGTCAGAGATAAGGTAGAACTGGAGTGAAAAATGATATCTTTTAGACCTGACAAGAGTGTTGCAAATATGAATTCAAAATATCAGATTCGGCAGCACTTTATCATGAAAGGGAATGGGGCTCAGTAGTCCTCATCCCTAATTGAGAAGCTCTTGACAGTTGCTGGCATCTAGAGGATGAAGGGTCAGGATTACCTAAGCTTAGGGTATTAGCCCCTGGTTTACTGATACATAAAATGGATGGTCCCACACCCATGAAAATATATGCACCAAATTCAGCCTGTGTGATGTGGGAGGGAGTGAAGGTTTCAGAACTGATCAGGAAGAGTTGGAATGTGGGGGTCAAATGGTCAAAAGAAATTGTGACAATGTATGAACTCCTCAGAAAATTATAAAAATAACAACATACTCAGAAAGTTCATTGTTAAGACTATTAGCAATTTTATGAAATTTTTGATGTTTTAAAAGACATATGTGATCACAAGTTGGAAAAACAGGTGAGTGACTGGTGTCTCAACTGGATTGCCCCAAAGTCCAAACTCTCACTAAATCCCAAGTACATCCCATGCTCCTCCCACACCCATCCCAGGAACCAGCAAGGCAGCTGGACTCTGTCCCTACCTCTAGTAGAACCTCACTGCTCTGGTATAGTTCCCACCAGCCTGCAAGAAGGTGAGTGACCTGCCTCCAAACCAGGCTCCCACTTCTACTACCCACTAGACTCTGTCCCTCTGAGACCCACTCTGCTGCCCAACCCCTTGCACCTGAACATACTTCCTGTGGCCAGCCTTCCTTTTCAACCCCAGGAGACTACACAGGCACAGGCACAAACCACAACAGTTGGATGAATAGGCACAATTACAAGTCACGCCACTACATCTACCATCATTGCTGGTCTGTAATTGAAATTGATGACATGTATTTAAAGACTCTGACCCATAGTCTTTTCATTGAACCCATGGCACATCCTCCCACTGGATGAGTCACGTATGTCCCTTTTTGGGTCTGAGCCACACCTGGACTTCAAAAATTTTGTGGCCAGAATTTTTTTCCAGTCCTCTCCAGGACCCAATCAAGGTCTCATAAGAAATAAAGACTGCTCCTGACTAAAGAAGAGTCTGTCTGCTCATAGGGCTTGGTTAGTTAGTTGATCTATAACTGCACCACATCACACTGAAAGCCTCAACCAAACCTTCCTGGTAAACACTAGACAGTGCTGAAGACAGGGTGAAATATAACCCCAAGGTCTGACACTGATACCTACAAGAATGAGGCCAGACATCACTACGCCCATGATTTCCAAGAGTCGTTTGATGTTCACTAGGGTTATTAGTACTTGTTTCCTGACACCATAGATTCCAGAATCTCTCCCTCCTGACCTTGGTCCTCAAACTGACATGAATAAAACCAAAGTAACCCATTAGGTTATCAAGTTGACAACCAAAATGTAGCATCACCACTTTAATGCAAATGTCTAAGAGGAAACCCTAAATCCCTGTTCTAGTGGCATGCTTGTAGACAAGTTCACTGCCCAGACACAATTGCCCATGCTGCCTTAAACTCTCACCAGCCCTACCTGGAAGAAGCTGGAACTGTATCCAACCTCTACAGACATCTGCCTTCCTGCTACCTACGTAAGACAATTACAAAGCCTTGAAGTTTTACATTATACTTTGCTCTGCATCACATGCCCTAGCAATGCGCATTTAGTTTTCAATAATTTTTATGATGTTCACGTGTTACCATGGTTCATCTTCTTTCAGACCCTTTCCTGTATTTCAGAGAGTGCTTTCAGTCTTCAGCTTGAACTTCTTACAGCCCGGCTTGTGGGATGGCCCCTCACAAAGAGGAAGGGCGGTGAGTGGCACATTCTTTCTTCAACAGCTATCTCCATGTGTACTGTCCAGAGCTCTCTTCCCAGACCTCTGTTCATGGCTCACACATTTGCCTTTCGTCATTGTCTACCCTCACCCCCAAAGGAAAGGGCCAGGGGCACAGACTGGAATAGAATTTATAAATTGGAGGAGTTTGAACAACCACTTCTAGTGCAAAATCAGAGTAGCATCTGTGGTAGTTCGAATGAAAATGGCCCCAGGGGCTCACAGGGAGTGGTGCTATTTATTATAGTTGTGGCCTTGTTGGAAGAAGTGGGTCTGGCTTTGAGATTTCGGATTTTCAAGCTAGGCTCGATTTCATTCTCTCTTCCTGCTGCCTGCTGATCCCGAATTCTCAGTTACCTCTCCAGTACCACATCTGCCTGCATGCTGCCGTGTTTCCTGACATGATGACAATGGACTGACCTCTGAATGTGAGTCAGCCCAATTAAATGTTTTCCTTTAAAAGAGTTACAATCAGCCCTCTGCCTCCTGAGAGCCCCCCGCAGCGGAGGCTAGGACACGAGGTCGACGCTGGGCGCCCCTCCTCTTGCTCGCCATGGCTGCACCCCGTGAGCCCCGCGCTCTGAAGGCCTCCGCGCCCCGGTCCGGGAAGGCCAAGCTGACTCACCCCGGGAAGGCAATCCTGGCAGGCGGCCTGGCGGGAGGCATAGAAATCTGCATCACCTTCCCGACCGAGTACGTGAAGACGCAATTGCAGCTAGATGAACGCGCGCACCCACCGCGGTACCGGGGCATCGGGGACTGCGTGCGGCAAACTGTCCGCAGCCATGGCGTCCTGGGCCTGTACCGCGGCCTCAGCTCCTTGCTCTACGGCTCCATCCCCAAGTCGGCTGTCAGGTTTGGGACGTTCAGAGTTCCTCAGCAACCAAATGCATCCCGGGGATGCTCAGGATCGGCTCGACAGCAAGAGAGGGCTGTTGTGTGGTCTGGGCGCCGGCGTGGCGGAGGCAGTGATGGTCGTGTGCCCCATGGAGACCATCAAGGTGAAGTTCATTCACGACCAGACTTCCCCCAACCCCAAGTACCGAGGATTTTTCCACGGGGTTAGGGAGATTGTTCGGGAACAAGGGCTAAAGGGGACGTACCAAGGCCTCACAGCAACTGTTCTGAAGCAGGGCTCAAACCAAGCCATCCGATTCTTCGTTATGACCTCACTTCGCAACTGGTACCGAGGGGACAATCCCAACAAGCCTATGAATCCACTGATCACGGGGGTCTTTGGAGCCATTGCTGGTGCAGCCAGTGTCTTTGGGAACACGCCTCTGGATGTGATCAAGACCAGGATGCAGGGCCTGGAGGCACACAAATACCGGAACACAGTGGCTTGTGGCTTGCAGATCCTGAAGAATGAGGGAACCAAGGCGTTCTACAAGGGCACTGTTCCCCGCCTGGGCCGAGTCTGCCTAGATGTGGCCATCGTGTTCATCATCTACGATGAGGTGGTAAAGCTGCTCAATAAAGTTTGGAAGACAGACTAAGCCTAGAGGGTGCAGCGGGGTGTCCCAGCTCCAGACCAGACCCCGCCGCCCACTCTTATGATTCCAGTGCAGTAGTGCCAAAAGGCCCCTTCCCTTGTCCCTTACGTTCTGCGGCCTGGTCTGTTCATGGTGACTACCATGTGTTCCAATAAAAAAAAAAAAGAGTTACAATCATGGTGTCTCTGCATGGTAATAGAGCACAGAGACAGAAGTTAGTGCCAGGGACTGGGGCTCCGCTGTGGTAGGGTCAGGCCATGCTTTTATTTGGAGGAATATGGAACATTTTGGGACTCTGAACTATAAAAGTGATTGGACACTTTAAGCGACCCTTGATGGGCCATTATAGGAGGAGCATGGAAGGCAGTGCTGGTGAGGATGATATGAACTGTGGGGTTAGACTCAAGAGGCTTCAGAGGAGAAGAATACGTATCCTAGAAAGTGATCTTGTGATATTTAGTGAAGAATATGACTGCTGTCTGCCCTTGTCTGAAAAATCTGCCTAAGGCTAAATTGAAGAGTTATGGATTAACAGCTTAGGCAGAGGACATTTCCAAAGAATCTAGCAGTGACTGTGTTAGGTGGCTATTAGCGGTCACATTCATGCAGATCTACAATGAAAAGGAGCAGGCTGGGCAAGGAAAATGTAAGATGAACAGTTGGAAGAAAAAAGGAGCACCAGGAAGTGTAAACAGGCTAAAGAAAAGCCTGACACTGAGTGGATTAAGGGGAGGGTCATCCTGGGTCACATCAAGGATGTCCCCTGCAGTAAATGAAGTCTGTGTGATTTATCCACACATTTGGTCCTCAATGTCAGCTTATTTCATTTATCAAGACAAAATTTCTTGGGAGTGTTAAGATTTTATATAAATGTTCTGTCGCGTGTCACCCTTAAGGTCTTGGTTAACTGTAAAATAACAAGTCTTGGGATCAGAACACCTCGGGGTACACTCCAACCACCATATATTTTAAGGAATGTCCATGTGGCTTCATCAGTAAAGGGGCCCTTAAACCCTGGTACATTCCTCCTCTTGGTGTTTCTTTGGTTCATGGTTAATCCTGGTGTACTTTCACTTTAGGCTGTTAGCATGGCTCTTCAGGTTTGCCCTGGACTACTTTTTAGTGGATAGAGGTTAATACTTACTGTCTTCTTAAATCTCAAATACACTCGGGAGAACATTGATCTGTCCGCAGAGTATAGTGCCCACACAGACACATAAGCACACAGTACAGATAACATAGACTACACATCTCACAAATAGAAAGATGGAATAGGTAGGATAGGAAGGTGGTTGGGAAAGTCATGCTGTCCACGTTAGGAAAGTGGAGTCCTGACACATGGGCTGGCTCTGCCTCAACTGCTGTCGTCTTTTCTAGTAAGAGACAAGGTGAAAACAGCAGACATATACAGCACAATTGAACATGCGGACACACAGTCATACACAAGGATATGAACACATGCTCAAGAAATAAAACACACATGAAAGCAGATGAAGAGAGTATGATAATGGTGATTTCTGAGACACACATATCATTGGCCATGCAAAGAAAGTCCTTGCTGAGGAAAAATGATTGTTGTCAGGAAGCTTCATCTCTAGAGAAGCCCAAGAGAAGGTCTCAAGCACTACCCACCTACATGGTGAAGCATGTGATTTCCTGAGTGGATTATCACTGGTGGGCAGTATGAATAGATGCTTCATGTCCTCTCTTCTTGGCATGCAGACTTGATTTGGCATGCTACTCACTGACATCCTTGTGTTGCCTGATGCCTTGACATCTCATCACAGTCCTGTCACAGATACTTCAAGAAGCTGCTTGAGCACCAGTCATCCCTATTTAGGTCACCCTAGCAACAGTATACCACAGAGAACGTAGATGGCGTCTTTACCCCAAGAATATATGTCTTTGAACCCACAAAGCAGCCCTCTTGCCAATACCTTATATTCCCAGCCCACCCCAAGAAACACTGTGGGGCTCTCTTACCAAGACCTACTGCCCTGCTTTCCCATGGCTACGTCTTCCAATATTACATCACAGTGTCCTGATCTTACTTCATACTGAGAATCTTAAAGGGCATTGAGGCATCCTTGTTTCTCTAGGCCAGGTGTCTTTCCTCTCCAGCTTCTTTAGGAATTGATAAGTTGAAGGTTCAGTCTATACGCCCATGATGTCAGATTATATCCAGATCACTTGATGACTGGTGGCAGCCAGGACACCATTAAGACTCCCTTGAGGTGATAATGTGATCAGGGATGGGATGGGACAGGTTGAAGGCCCCACACACTTGAAACTGGGGTATGCCTAGCATACTTGATTGTCAAGGAATTGACAGTATTGATATAAAGATTTGGACTTTCCCTGATATCTGTCATCAGCACTGGGATACTTGACTTGTATGACAAGATTTTTCAGGTATAGGGTTTGCTGGGTTCACAGTTGAGACTACATGTGATCTAGGATTCATTCAAGTTAGACAGAAAATGGACTCAAAGAAATGCCATGTGTGACCAACAAACCCTGGATGTTAGGGATGCTTAGGTTGTCTGATGGTCAGTATATCCTGGACTTTCTTTAAGCTGAAATGTGAGACACTGGTTCCAGTTAGATGCAGATGTTGTCTGGGCTCAGATAAAAAACTTGTCTCCCATAGACTCCTTGAAGTTACGGTCTTTCCAGGCTACTTGTTGGTTATGGAGTGGTCCTAATATTACTGAGTGTCTCCCACATACCCTTCAAGTCAGGATGAGGCCAGCCTCTTCGCTAATTTAAAGATAGGAATTTCCTTGGTTCCTTTGTGATCAGAATTCAGCCAGAAGTTCTGGGAACTGCCCAGGCTCCTTGGCTCCAGTTTTGTCCTAGATCAACTCTCATCTCTTTCCTTAAATGAAATTTTGAGGGGGTATTAGGTTACTATTCTTACTCTATTACTAAATAGAGGTTACTATTCTGTTGCTCTGACAGAACACCATGACCAAGACAACTAATAAAAGAAAGTGTTCAATTGGAGTTACAGTTTCAGAAGAACAGAATCCATAATGATGGGAAAAAGACCTTGCAGCAAGAGCATCTTGGTCCACAATCATGAAGCACAGAGACAGAACACTGGGAACAGTGTGAATCTTTTGAAACCTCAAAGCTTACCCCTCCCTAGTGATACACCTTCTCCAGCACAGTCATGCCTGCTATTCCTTTCTGAGGTCACGTATTGAAACATATGAGCCAGTAAATGACATTCTTATTCAATTCTCTGGCCTTGATACACTCACAGCCATATCATAATGTAAAATGCATCTATCAAAAGTTACCATAGTCTTTCAGTCACAACATACTTTAAAAATCCAAAATTCAAAGTCTCTTCATTACGTAATTCCAACTTATAATAGCAAAGAATATACATTACTATTCCAAAAGGGAGGCGTCAGAGCATAGTAAGGAAATACTGGACAAAAGGAAGACCAAAACGTAGCAGGACAACCCCCAAATCCTGTAGCTCCTTGTATGGAGTCAGAGAGCTTAACTGGCTCCCCCCTCCCACTTTGCTGTCTGTAGCATACTTGTCTGTCATGAGGTGGTGCCTGACATGGTGTACAGCTTTTCTTGGCTGGAAACTAAGACCAAAGAGCTGGTCTCCATGGAGCTGGAAAGTTCTGTGGAACCCAAAGCTGAGAACCTTGGAAATAATCAGGTATCCAGGTGGATTAGCTGAGCCCAAAAAGAAGTAGCAGCATCCTAAATGAAGCTCAGCTCCTGAATCAGGGTACAAAGAGTGAGAGAGATCACCTTTGCTCAGGATATTAAGCTACCTAGATACACCCACAGCTCCTGGGCAATCAGACTCTAAGACCAGTGTCCATTGTAAGACACCTATTGCTACAGTCAAGGTGAATTCTAACAGACAGACCAAACATGCACAATGGCTTAAATACCAAATATAATATATGATTGTTTCTCCTATGTATGAAGTCCAAAATGGACACCATACACCAGTGGGCCATGCTCCTCCGCATGGTGATTCAGGGCTCTGATTTCTGACTAGCTGTACCTTCTGCATCTTTGACTTGGCTTATCTGTTTGGAAAGAGAAGTATAGGTGAGTTTTATGGATTGGACCTGGCAGGCTTGAAATATCATTGGTTAAAAAGCAGCCTCAAGTCATCTCTTGCATGAAAATTTTTCCATACCCTGTCTTTTATTTCCTGGGTTCTCAATCCTTTCATAAAAAATTCATGCCGGATAAAGGGTTTTACATACCAAACAGGCCGGAGATTTAGGGGGCCAGCTTAGTGTTTCAAAAATGTTCCACTGCTTTTTCAAATTTTTACTACAATCACTCTGAAAGAAATCCCTATTGCTTGATATTAGCAAATGTAGCCATTGAAGCAGATGCACATATCCGAAAACACCAGGAGAATTAATTACCTGCAGTTACATTCGTCTCATCCTTTCTCTTCCTGGGCAGTCTGTGAAGTTGAATGATTTTTCTTCCACTCAGTCACTGAGCTGCGAGCCTTGTATTGTGCAACAAGGCCCAGCAGGCAGTAAGATGACAAGAAGATGTCGTGATGGAATCCCCTCGGCACAGCCCTCTGGCTGGATATGTCGGGAAATGAGAATCGTCCTCTAATTTAACTACAGCAAGTCTGAGGCGATTCCTGCAGGCATAATAGTTAGAAAAATGGCATCTCACGTGTGGCCGGAACCCCTACTTTACAGAAGAACCCGCTGGCTTCCACCAGGGAGATAATCTGAAATTACAATAACACTCTTTCTAATTTTGTGCACTTATTACATGGCAAGCATCGCCTTTAGCACTGTGTGGCACTGCGGTATAGCAACTCAGCTAACGCCTGATGGTCTCATCACCTTTACACAAAGAAGGAGGAGACAGAAGAGCACAGAGCTAACGTAACTTCCTCTAGGAAGGGCTGCAGCCCTAGACATCTGTAGTCTGGAAGCCTCAATTCAGTCATAGACGCTGTTATTTGGGGCAAAAAAAAAAAAATCCCTGGATTAAGAGACTATCCAA